CCATTGCCACTTTCTGCAAAATACTCACAAAGTGTAGCTTCCATATCACTGCTGTTGGCTACTCTGCCAATAGCTGCCTTGAAGAGGGTGGATGATTCTTTGTCTGATGTCTCAGTGTGTCTGCTCCACCTTGGGTGACCCTGCTAGAGGTCCAGGCTCCAATAGGAGCCTGGCCTCCTGATGGCATTGCTAAGACCATTCCCCTTCCTGGATGTGCACCTTAACGTGGTGAAGGGGTTGCATTATATCAGTGAAACTGAGAACCGAAAATAAACAGAAAATATAAATTATCGAGTGTGATAGAGAGGGAAGCAATAATTTTGACAAGTTAAGTGCACAAGGCTATTCTAAAATATTAAAAGTATATGTTGAAAAAAGGAATCAGGGTTATGGGAATGTACAAAGATCTCTTAATAAACACATTTTTATTTAAAATACATAAATTCCCTGTAAGAATGTTTCTAGTATATTTGTATTAATTCGTACTAAGTATACTGTTATATGAATTAACAGAAATGCACTATAAACATTTTTACAAAAAATATATGTATTTTAAATTAAAATGCATTTATTTATAGACTTTCATGGTAGGGATACTGCTATATAGCATGCAGTGTGGGAGAGTGGATAGAATAATCAGTTCTTAAATACTTTCCTTACCTTGAAAACTCTATCAGGGTTGCTATAAGTCAGTTCTCATTTGACAGCACATAACAGCAACAAATACTGCTATACAGCATAATGTGGCATCTCTAAAGCACTGTAACAGTACCTTTAATAAAATGAAGATTGTCAGTACTATTTTTCAACATTATAAAATGAAGAAAAATAACTTCAGAGAAACTCTGTGCATCCTTTGGACTAATGTTAGCCATATTTTCTTTGAGGATCAATATCAAATCCTGACAGACAGTATCAAGTCAATGTCAACTCTCTGGATTAGCACTGAGCTCATTATAATTTAAGTATAAAGGTCAAGAAAGAGCAGCCTTAGATCTAATCCTTTTATTGGCCAGATCTTCGGTATATACAACCTAACTGGGTTGCACAGTTAGAACCACCAAATCCTAGTCTAAAAGGTATATAAAATACTGTACTGTTTTTCTATTAAAGCAGCTATAAAAATAAATATACAGTATATTTATATAGTAAGGAATTGTAAACTCAGTGCATTCAGAATGATGCAAAACAAAACTGCCAGGTATTACTACAGTGGATTAATAAATTTTCAATATACATGCAGAGCATATTGTTTGTCAGCACTTCCAAAGTTCTTCATCACAAAGAGTTTCAGCCCAATTGTTATTAATAATTTATATGGTAGTTCTACTATATGAAACATTTGTTAACATTTGTAATTTTAAACAACTCTCAAATGCCCTAATTACAACGCTTATCTTTTCAAAACACTGTATCCAGTTTTGCATATTTTAGCGTTAACAAGGAAGAGCTTCCATATGCCTTCGTAAAGTGTTTTCATCTGCTCCCACTCCCCTGGCATGGGATGGGAGAAAGATTTCTTCACTTTTAGAGTCATCCCAGTTGTAAACAACCCTTAGTCAATTACAACTATCTCAACTTCAAATCATGATTTCAAAAGCTGACTTGTAAATTAACCATAGTTTATTTTAAACCAAGAGTTATAGTGTGAATATAACACTATGCTCAGATCATTTGAAAGTGAAGACTCAATTACATATTTGGAGTCTGTATCTATCTTTGCCTATTCTGTGTTGCACTTCTATTTTGAAATGAACAGATTTTGCTCAGTATGACAAAGGCATGTCATATTCCTTATTATTAGCATACTTTATTTCCTGATTTTTGTTTGAAAATATTGTAATACTGTACTTAATAGCATTTTGACCCCTTTTAAGACCTGCTGCAATTTTCTGCTAACGTGTGTAAGGAATAAGCCAAGAGCCACTGATTTTTCCCGCTCCAGTTTTCTTTAAATATATCTTCGTGGGTCTGGAGAGATGTGGTTCTGGGCAGGGAAGGTGTACTAGAAGGCATTTTGCTTTCTTCCATTCGTCGTCATTGTCATTTAGTCGTGTCCGACTCTTTGTGACCCCATGAACCAGAGCACGCCAGGCCCTCCTATCCTCCACTGCCTCTCAGAGTTGTGGCAAATGCACGTTGGTTGCTTCGACGACACTGTCCAACCATCTCATCCTCTGTCGTCCCCTTCTCCTCTTGCCTTCGCAATTTCCCAACATCAGGTTCTTTTCCAAGGAGTCTTCTCTTCTCATGAGATGGCCAAAGTACTGGAGCCTCAGCTTCAGGATCTGTCCTTCCAGTGAGCATTCAGGGTTGGTTTCCTTTAAAATGGATAGGTTTGTTCTCCTTGCAGTCCAGGGGACTCTCAAGAGCCTCCTCCAGCACCACAATTCAAAGGCACCACAATTCAAAGGCATCAATTCTTCGGCGGTCAGACTTCTTTATGGTCCAGCTCTCACTTCCATGCATCACTAAAGAAAAAACCATAGCTTT